TTAACAAAAAAAAAATAATAAATTTTGTGGAAGAAAACATTTATGGTAATAATATAAAAGGGTAAGACAAGCAGCGACACTTATTATTTATATAGACTCTCTCTACCTATCTCTCTCTCTGTCTATCCCACAAATAGACGAGTGGTACTTCACTTTTTACCTAGAATATGTTCAGCTCAATGAATTTTCATTTTGGTTTAAAAAAACTTTCAAGAATGAAGGCATTGTCTTGCTATTATAAAAAAGATATTGAATTACATTACAGCACATACACTGAAAAAAATTACAACGATTAATAAAAAAATCCAGAAAAATAGTACACATAATATTTCCATAAAAGAAATTGCAATATGTAATATTAACTGCATACACACGTTCACGAACTTACAAAATTTTAATTATCATCAATATTAATATTAAAAAAATATTAGAATTAAAATGAAAATAAGTCAAAAAAAAAACTTCATAAATATTTACAGCATTTTTCATTATTTAAGTTCAGAATTTGCAGAAAATCAATATTTTTCTTATACCATTTTTCCACTGCTTACTTAGTAATCTACTTAAGTAACTTAAGACTTTGTCGTTTCCATTTACATAAATTACTTATTGCATGTGAAAGAGCTTTTATGTGTCAGAAAGTTCTTTGAAAGTTTTAAGAGAGCTTCTGTTTGAAAAATTTCACTCAATTATATATCACATAAAACATGAAATATATAGTTGATATATTAAATCATTTACATATATATATATATTTTATAAATCTATTACACATTTAAGTAATATGCAATAAAAATAAAGATTTTATTAAATCAAATATTTCAAATTTTTACCATTTCCCTTGTGGGAAATTTTTAATCTACTTTTTCTTGTTTTATTTTTAAGTAAGTTGAAAATCACAAAAGCGCTTTGTATGGTAAATGAAATTTACTTAGTAAGTTACACTTACTAAGTCAGCTTTGTACGAATACAAAAAGGAATTAATAAAGCTTTGATTTCCCAGTGAAATGAAACACTGCAACGATGACAGATTTTTTGTAGTAAAAACTAACACTTCCCAAACAGAAAGCACACTGAGCTTTGCGTAGAAATGTCATAAATCTTTCCGTTAAGTATTTCCAAATACCAGATGATAATGTTAGCTCGCAACCTTGTATTCTCGTTTAGATTCTATCAAAACTACAAAGTCACAAAAAATGAAACTAGTTATAATCTTTTCTGCCATTAAACAGATTTTATATTTTGTCTCCAGAGAAACTTTGTTGAAACGACAAAGCAATAAATGGTGAATAGTCAGATACCAATACAGATAGCAATTCCTTTAATTTAAGTTCTAAATTTTCTATTAAATACGTGGAATAGTAGTTCGAATGTCGAAGAAGCTTTCTGAAGCACAAAGACACCATTTTTTTAACACTATTATGGAAATTGTACATTTAAAACCAATCTTTAGTACTCGGTCTTTCGAAAGAGGTCCAAGATGTCTCCTTTGAGGACCTTATAACAATAAACGAAAATGGAAATAAATGTGTTTTTATATCAGGCAAGAATAGAAGCTCACAGCTTAGCACTATTTTTTAAAGATCTATATTTGAGATATCCACTAAATTCTTAGTGGTTCACAAAGATTCACGCATACCTATGTTTGCTTCTGGAACAGGTTTTATGAAATATTTTTTGATGTAAAGTATAAACTAGACCGATTATATTAAAGTAAAACGAACTGCATATATGGTATATATATATATTAATGCTAATGAAATACAATTCTATATTCTAATTCTCATTGGCTTTACTAAATGACACTTTTATAGATTTTAAGGCAAATTACATTTAATCATGTGATTAAGAACTGATTTTAATATAAACTATTAAAACGTTTATTTGTTGTTGAACTATCAAAGTTTGGTACACTGGAAAAACTTGAAAAAATAACTTATATTTTGCGACGTTTATTGACATACGTTAAGTTAAACTTATCAAACTTCCAACAAGCGAGCTCAAGCAGCTACAATGTCAATAACTCCAGTTGTCTAGGTCTAGCTATATATCAAACGATAAAAGTAAAAGCACATGTAGGTAATATCTGATAATTGCAGCATAAATTTAAAATAGCTTTAAGTAAACTTGGTTCTCAATTCTTTCAAATAAATTTTACTTAGCAGTTATATCAAGAGAGGTAAAAATTATATTACCACAAAGTAAATTACGAACACTATGTCTCTGAGAATAAATACCAATAACGATGGTACCGTTAATTATTAAATGAGATAGCAGTTAAGATATAGAACAATTTGAATTCTTAGACAAAATTGATTTCAACAATAGGTTGTTGAAGGTAGAAAATTGTATTGTAAACCTTAGGAGTCTTTGTAGAATTGCCAAATTACAGTTATAAAAGTTAAAATTTTCATTGTATATCTTTATGTAGGGGAATAGATGCTATGATATATATGAAATTAATTTTCAAGAACTGCAAACGTTGAACCTTGATGCGCCTGTCTGTCTTGCCACACATTCCCTGGTATTAAAGATAATTCCAGTGCTTGAGCCAAACCTCTATACACTTTGTGTTGGGTAAATGAGTTTCAGCTTTTAAGTTTTTTGACGAATTTTACTTGAAAGCCTCAATTGATCAAAACATCATCTCAAAAAAGTTAATTTTAGTTTACGGAACAGAAAGAGTTTACACTACACCATACGGAATATATAACATATAATATTCGGTCAATCATATATACATTTATATAAATACTATAAAGTGCTTCTGGTTATCCTACAGCGTAGTTACTTTCTATTCAGTTGGCAACTGTTGCAGTTAAAAAATCTACACAGATCATAATACGATATTTATCTACGAACCTGAATCCATTTCATATATCTTCTCCTATCTGTCTGCATAGCCCTATTGAACTATGTATCTGCTCATAATATTATTATCTTAATATTGTGCTACTCTGTTAACCTGAAACCGTATAATATATCTTCTTCTATCTATATGCATACTCAGTATTTTATTTGAAGGCTAAAATATCTTCTGCTGAGAAAGTTTCTAATATCAGACAAGAGGCTCACAGAATTATATTAAATTTTGGACATCTACGTTTGGGATATCCAGTAGGTTCTTTTGGTCGTAGAGTTCCATAGTGAAATGTCTATTGAATCGTGTGATTGTCTCAGCATTTGTGAAGAACCTGTTCAGTTGTTACTTTTTGTTTTTTTTTTCTACTTATTAAATACTTCGTTTTTAAACCAACTTTATATACCATGAAACCATCAGTTTCTTGAATTTGTGACAAATTGTAAAAATTATATTCATGCTTATATTAAATTCATTTTATCTAAAATTTCAAAAGTTTTTTACACCAAAAAGTAAAGTTCTTTATGTTCCAATGTTTAGAAGGCGACATTTTTATATTAACTTCATCGGTTCTGTTTGTTCGTGACTTTTTGTTTAATTTACGATGCTATAACTGCGCTGAAATCTCATTACTTACAGAAATAATTCACATAAAATTATTTACGACCTATGAAACGGAACAGTTCGTCAAATATTCCGGAAACGACAGATGAAAACCAAAAATCACTCAAATTTTATCACCTCGTAAAACGCAAATATGCATTTTTCCAACGTTTAGGCATTTAAGCAAAATTCTATTAAAAAATTATTCAGAAGCTAGAAAGGCAATAATGCCATCAACCGCCCCTTTTCGAGAAGCTTCAACCTTAGCAGAGATTTGGAAATAGGCCTGCCCGTGAGCGCTGTCATAAATTGTGACAACAAATTTTACAACATTAAACCATTTACCTAATGAGAATTTTAGTGCCGTCATTAAAATTATTTGATTTTCTTCGTTTTAATTTTTAGGCCTAATAGAGAAATCCAAAGATGTGGCATTTTTCTGCTAGGTAAACTCGCTTTACGGATTTGGAATGCGAATTCTTGACTTTACTGCTCTAAAATATAAATTAAATTTCTCATTTTCTGAAAAAGCTAAGCATTTTGTGCAGATTTTATTTCATATAAAAAAGCACTTCGATTCTCATAGGCAATAATATCAACTGGATAAAAATTTATTTTTTGTAAATTATTTTCTACTTTATATATAAAAATTTTTTCAAGACAACACGATTACAAATAAATGCATATGATTACACTATATACATAGGTTTGTATTACATGTATTAAAAAAAATATATATCTATGTAATATCATATAATATCTTTAGGCAATTCTGGCATATCTGGTATCTGTTGCAATTAAAAAATTCCGTACAGATCATAATATGATATTACTTTACATACTTGAATCTATTTTACATGTATTCTCCTATCTATCTGCATAGTTCTGGAATCTACAAAAATTTTCCTCAACTTGTTAAACAATTTGCCCATTGCTTGTCTGCCTCTGCGCCTAGTCCCCTGCGGAATTCCAACTAATTACAGAATGCGCGAGATCTTTATAAGGCTTACGAAGTTTGTGGCCAAGCCAATCATATTTCTATCCTCTTATATCGTTATATCATAACTCTACATTTGAAATCGTTTCAGGGCAGCATATGCCTAATATGTTGTCCATGCATCGATTGTTAAATGATTGTTGTCTTCTCTCGGTTTTGGAGTTGGCAAGCCAGTTTTCCGATCCATCTAGGCATACAAATTTAACGCATGCATTAAATCGTTGGTGTTGGTACATATATTGTGCTTACTATGGAAAGTAATGAAATCCCTTTCCAGTTGTTATAATCGGCAAGGTTACACTTTTTAGGTGGCTTTACTAATAATAACTCATTCCAGTCGAATGGTATCTCTTTGAATACCAAATGATTTCAAAATACAGTTTACAAGATATAGTTTATTTTAATCTACAACATGCTATACTTGTAATAATTTATACGTATTTATATATCTTTCTAAATCAAAAATGCTTAAACCAAAATTAAACATTTAAAGTAAACTTAAAATATATATTTTCATTTTATATTTTCATTTTCTTTTAGAGCTGCACAAAAACTCGCACAAAGTGGTTCCACAAAAGCGCGTACCTCTGAAATGCCAAATACATCAGCACGCAATGGTGGTTTCTGTGGTGCGCTACAGCGCGCGCCTCCACCCATGCCTCCCGGTTTGGCCAGACGATTAGCAAATAAGGAAAATTATGGTATCGGCAAGGTAAGTCAGAATTTTTGAAAAAATAATTGAAAAAAGAACTGTCGGTCATAGCCGACTCTGAGATGTCGACGATATATGAAAAAGGAAGCAAAAACAAAATGGAGGATTGAATAATCTATAAAGCAATAATACTTGCATTAAATGGTCTGTGCATATATGATTATATATTTCATTATATATTTTAAATACATAATACTTTTCAATGAGATATTTATATGTGCGAATAAACTTGGTGAGATATATTTCACAAATCATATATATGTATATATAATATTTGCATAGACTGTGGGCAACTGAAGTCATGTGAACTGAAGTTACTAGGGGATAAAACACGGAAATCCGTGGTTAATTAATCATTCCAACAAATAATTTTTTAATAATTTTTTATATAATCAACGCAATGATCCCTTCAATGATCTGATCAAGATAAAAGAATTAATAGAAGAATTAAAAAAAATTTTTCAGTTGCATTACTGGATTTAGTACAAAAGAATTGTTTAGAACTGAAATCTATTTTATTGAAACAAAAAAAAATACCAAAAAGAAGTATTATGTATATGAATGTGTTTATATTCTTTCAAATTTGCAGTTATCGAAAAAACAAATCACAGCATTATACTTAAATTTTAAAGTTATAGTGAACATATCCATTTTCGTTTAAAAATCAGAACCTGAAAAAGAGGTATATATTAAAATTTAGACTATTTGTAATTTCGTGGATTCAGTGGAGTTAAGGACCCTAATAAATAATAAATAATAATAAAATAAAAATCAACACCGAAAACTGGATAGCTTGTACCTAAAGATACTATTAAATATAGATTAGATTATAATGATAATAGGCATCCATTTCCTTTTAACAATCAGAAGCTGAAGAAAGATTTTCTTAAATACTCGTTTTTTTAAATTTTTTATATTTATTAAATGTACTTTAAATTATGATGAGGATCGCTTATTGAATTATCAATAAGTAAAGTAACTTATGTCAAAACTATCAAAAATTTCTGACAACGGACTTCAGATAATAAAAACAGATATACAAATGCAAAAAAATATACAGAGAATCTGTTTCAAAGTGTTAATTATCATAAGCTTAATGCTAATTGTAATTAAAAATAAGTAATCACCTTCCTTCTTTGAGATTCGTAATTAAAGTAAGGTATTTATATATTCTTAAATTATATGGTATATTAGGTCGATATTACCTGTATTTGTGACATGAACTTTAAACGTAAGAAAATAATGTAGTACTCGTGTACTCGTGTATAGGTTTAAGTTACTAACCTTTGTGATATGATAATTAAGTATAACTCTTACAAATCACATACAAACTAGATATAATTTATTATGCGGGCTTGAAAAATCAGTATCCGTGATAATATACAAATAGTTTATCATCTTATCTTTAAATTCCAGTAAATATTTTGCACCAAAGTACTAATATATATCTTAGAGAAACACCGACTACTATCTTTAAGTTGATTTTTCAGGTCTAGCGTACAGACGGTGTTTTATCTATGGTATCACATCGGGTATTATTTGTGCTGAAGTGATTTTTGCTACACAAATCTACTAGGCCTAGCGTTATCTTGCTATTAAATATTCAATTAAATGGTATGTAATTCAAAGAAGTACTTGAAAAACCTATAGTTCAAAAAAACTAAGACTTTTTCAGTGCCTCATATGATACAAAAGATATATTAAAGAGTTATTATAGGGCGGAAATTGTTGCAAGTATTGTAACAAATTTAAGGTCCTAAATTTTTGATAATATTTATTATTTAGTTTGTTTTTTTAAATATTCTCCGGATCACTAATATCGCCTGTATAATTTAAACTAATCTAATTAAATATTTTCCGAGTAAATTATATTAGTCTGTATATAATGTCACAACATCTTTTTTTGATGCTTTGTATAAAATTTTAAATATATGTATAGTAATTTATATTTAGATTTATATTTAAACGTATGTCTAGGAATATTATCTAGATTAACAGATTTTATTAGTCTGTATATAATATCAATACATTTTTATCTTTTGATTCTTTATTTGAAATATCTAGAATATCTATTTCTATATCTATATCTATATCTATATCTATATCTATATCTATATCTATATCTATATCTATATCTATATCTATATCTATATCTATATCTATATTTATATCTATATCTATATCTATATCTATATCTATATCTATATCTATATCTATATCTATATCTATATCTATATCTATATCTATATCTATATCTAGATCTATATCTATATCTATATCTATATCTATATCTATATCTATATCTATATCTATATCTATATCTATATCTATATCTATATCGATATCTATATTTAGGTGTATATCGAGACTAGTAAATTGTATTAGTCTGTGCATAATATCACCGCATCTTCCTCTTTCGATTATTTCTTTAAGATATTTGGAATACATATGTCATATCGTTCGGCGCTTTAAACTAACGAAACAATTTAGAGTCTAGCTTGTATGTTCTTCTATAATGGTTAGATCGTTTTTTCATGGTAGAATATAATCCTGAACAAACTGATTGTAATTAAAATGAGTTTCTAATCGATATAAAGAATGGTACAACTATATACTGAAATAAGGTGTAGATAAGGTGTTCGAAACCAGGATTAGTTGAGCTAATCCAGCTTTTGATGTATTACCTTATGTAGTTACAAATAAATATTTGTATGTAGGGTGTTTAATGAATAAATTTTCATTTTTATTATCATGAAGGAAAGCTTTTAAATTTAAATGGAGTTTAAATGTTGCATGAATTTAAATTTTCAGGCAGAGATAAGTATCGCATTAGCATGTTGTTTAATGACGTCTGCATACTCACAAAGCAGGCACCAAAAAGTACAACAAAGCTGTCAACAGCGTTGCTGTCATATTGTTTTAGTTGTGCTAAAGTACTTCTTGGAATCAGAATAGCCAACTACCGCCCCATTACCGCCCCATAATTTAGCTGCATAAATCTAATTTATATTGCAATACGTAGCAATTAAGATCGCTATCAACGACACGATTTCGTACAAAATGTGTTGCATGCGACACAAATAAATCAAAATTACACAAGTAGCACACAACAAAGAACCAATTTCATTCAATTTAATACCCCAACCACTCCAATAAGCTCTTGAGTCCTTTGCAAGTCTAGGGTTAAAGACGTGTTAAAAAATGTTAAAAAAAAAATGCCATAAATAAAAATTTTTGCATACCAATTGCACTGCACTCAATTTTTGGTATCGTATCATATGCTTTCGTTTTATAACGCTTTTCATATAATAAAAAGCATTTAATTTCTGCAGGTTAAGGTAATGTTGCGTGTCTCGGACACTCATACCGATGCCGAGAATCCACATTTCATGTCAGTCGATAAAAAGAAACGTCAAGTTACGCTGACAGATCCGGTAACAGCGAGCTCAGTCGCTGCATCCTCATCACAGGAGCGTGGTCCAATGGTGGCGGCGCCCAAAATGTTCGCTTTCGATAGTCTTTTCACAGCGGAAGATCAACAGGTGGGTTGGGATATAATAAATGCAAAATTTAAAATTTAAAATGAATTAATTTAATAAATAAATGAAGTTTAAGAAGAGAAATAAATAATAAAAAAAATTTGTCTAAATTTCACGGAAATACTAAATCAAACTTATTTTTTCTTCCATATCTTCCATGTCTCAATGCACATTTTTAATGCTCCGCAGTCTGATGTTTGTGCGTCTGCATTGTCTGAAGTCATACCCGCCGTTTTGGAAGGTTCCGATGGTTGTCTGCTTACAATTGGTTATCCAAGTTCCGGTGAGTTTTTTTGTTGTTTTTGTTAAATTGTCTTAAAATATTCTTCACCTCCAAATGCATACACTATTATTGCACAATCTCGCCAATTGTTCGGTATTTCCTGGTATAGAGAATTGCAATAAATTTCGCGCTTGTCTTAATCTGTGCATGCTTATCATATACTTTCTTCTTTTTCATTTCTCCTCATACCTTGTATTTCTCTTACAGGACAATCGAAAACTATGCTGGGTGCTGTTAATCCACACAGTGAACTAGGAGCCATACCATGTGCTATCTCCTGGCTGTACAAGGGCATAAACGAGCGCAGACAGAAAAGTGGCGCAAGATTTTCAGTGCGCGTTAGTGCTTTGGGTGTTAGTGCCACAAAGCCGGACTCCAGTTCAAAGGATTTGTTGGCAGCACACGCAACTGGTAAGTAGACAGATAATAGAAAGGCTTACTAATATATTTATATGTACTTTATAATGCTGTATATGTGCATAGTACATCTGCATAATAAATGTGTCGGTCCATATTTAATTAGGAACTCTTGATGAAGTAACTTCAAGACAATACATTAATTTTGTAATAATACAAAAAAAAAACAAACCAATGGAATCACACAAAGTCTATAAAAATGTGGAAAATTGTTTATTTAGAATATAACTCAATCTTTCGATTTAAGAAAGAAAGCATAAGAACTTGATTTATTGACCATGAAATAAAAGAAAAGTACAAGAAGTTTCTATGTAACGTATTGTACATTTTCATAAAAAAATTAACCGGAATTGTTAAATAAAAGTACAAAAAACTGTAATCAAACAAAATTTATTTATATATTGACATTTGTGTCTACTTAGCACATTGAGTGTAATAGCACTATACCACCAATAGATCCATTCCTCTGCTCATTTTTCGTAGCCATAGAGATATGACTTTTGACTCCTTTGCCGAAGTTTGTTTTACGATTTTCGCAAACTATGCTTATCTTGGTCTTTAAACTGGTTATTTTGACTTTGGAAATAGAAAATAATCATACAGGGTCATGTCAGTATAGCATGAGTACGGTGTTTGGTCAATGAGACTCGCTTAATTTCTTTCACAACGATTGCATCATGCGATAGCAGAACACTCACAACTATAAAAATCTATTTTTATAGGGCTCTCTATTTTTATAGAGATATTAGTTTGAGAAATTTAAAAAATATAAAGGGTTTCCAAGCAATCTGCTTGTCTTATTCTCGAGTTTATTTCGAAATCATCTGATAATTATTCGTTTATTAACTATCAAGTTAGATTATGCAATACACTCCACTATTTTTAGTTATTTTTTTTTATATAGTAAAATTCTATATATATCGTAAGTAGTATTTAGAAATCTTAAATTTTAGCTCAATTCTTTCTTTGGTCTCTTTGAAAGTAGGTTACTGCTGCATATATATTATTTTGAATCCTATGTTCTGTTTTTGGGGTTACTGTAACAATGTTGTTTATCGTGGGTACCAGTCATGAAGGTTTAAGTTTACAGTACTCTATAAATACATGTATCAAGCTAAATCGCCGATTAACGGCCCATTGAAAATTTTAATGAATTTTCTCCGGTTCTAATGAAATTATATGTTTTACACATAACTTCCTCCTTGGTAAGGAGCGAGGCCTAACAATACCTCTGCTGATCTTTGGGTTTCAGCACCCAGTGGTGAATACGCAAATCCACTCGAATGAATGATAAACAAATACCAAACATGCTTCCCGTGAGTCGTAACCGCAACCACTACGAATGTGGCTTTCTGGCACGATTAGTGGTGACAAGACATACTAATCTCTTTTTGGGATAATAGTATATCTCTGTATAGTATTTCTTTTGATGTTGAGAATTTAAATTGTGTGTCATAATAAGTTTCAATTTACATACTCTTACAAACTGTCTGAGTTTTAATTGGTAGTTCCTAGTGTACAAAATTATATTATTTTACCGTCGCTTCAGGTTCGCTTATAATGTTTCTGATACTAAATATCTTGCTTATTCCTCATGTACTCTATAAATGTGAACTGCCAGGTTATTAAATATGTTCAGTTTTGTTTGCAAAACTCTAATAACTTCAACTCTGTGTGCATTTTAAATGAAATGTCAGAGCACATTTGTTGCGCATTCACAGTGCATACAACGTTTACTTCACCAGAATGTGTTTACCTCCACAAAGTGCTTGTAAGAACAGCAATTAAAACGCAGTATTTCCTTGAGCCTGCTGACAACCTTCTATTTCTTTGCCGTAAATAATATACATAAATAATATTTGTGGTATGCATCCTTGTGAGACACTTAACCCACAGACTACTACTGTGTTATTGTTGCAGTGCTTTCTCTCAGTAAAAACTTTTCAATGACTTTGGCCTCACTCAGTCATATGATTATTTTTGTCGGCTGGAAGGCATATGTAAAAATATTTGCTTAACTTGCAATCGTTAGATTAAAGTTTGCCATATAACTTTAACCCTGAACTAAGAAGTTAAAAGTTGAAGGGAATTTGTTTGTATGAGTTTTCTGAAAGAATAGCCTGCATATATTTGAGGACTCCTCATAAACACTGTATACTGAGTACGGCACTTTTGAATTGCTGCTCTTAACCCAACTAACATAATGTAGTCTCAAGACAACTGTGCCACTTTTGGCTGGCATTTACATATTTGTCGAAGTAACGCACCAAATATTTTTATAAACCCAACTACCCCTAATGCCACATCATTGAACTTCCGTCTTTACATGTATGCCCACAACACTTAACATATTTTTTTCATATTAAATGTTTTCCTTTTAGTTTACTTATTTTTGTTTTTCTCTTTACCACAAAATAAATAGAATCTGATGACTCCCCGGGGGTTTATTTGCGTGACGACTTTCTTGGTGGTCCAACGGAATTGCGCGCTCCAACAGCTGAACGTGCTGCACTGTTTTTAGACGCTGCGCTTGCCGGTCGACCGCAAGGTGGGCTGGAACCGGCTATGATATTCACTTTGCATGTCTACCAGTACAGTTTATCGCGCAAAGGTGGTGGTAAGTATCGACCCTAGCCTCAAGTGTCAACAGCGCTTGACATTTAATTGCTGAAAAGCGTAAATAATTGCTAAAACATACTTCGCAAATTTATTACATATATTTTTTTCTTTTTTTATTATTTCCCTTTCACATTTAACTGTCAACCTGAACATAAATACAAACACGTACAACAGTGGCTGGTGGACGTAGTCGTTTACATCTCATTGATTTGGGTGGTTGTGCCAACCGTAGTGGTGGTCTTCCATTATCTGGTATTGGTAATATACTACTTGCCATATTAAGTGGCCAGCGACATCCACCGAACAAAGACCATCCTTTGACACCTTTGCTGAAAGACTGCCTGGCACCATTGACATGCCACGTCGCCATAATGGCACATGTCACACACCTACAGGTAAGCTCCCATAATGCATAAATGTGTGTGATTGAGCATTATGCACCCAAAACAAAAAGGCGACTACATGGTAGCAATCATGTCCAAGTATTCATTTAGTGTCTGAAATGGAGACACAATAAGCCTTTTGTATATTAAAACAATGCAAAATATGTGCCCAAAGTTACGATTTATGTCCATACACTAATTGCTCGGACGGTACATAAATATGCAGCATCAATAATTGTCCACACACTTGCATATGACTAATTACCTGCATTTCTCTTTGTTTTCTTTGTCTTTAGTCGCACACGGATGCACTTACGACAATCCAATTAGCCTCACGTATACATCGCATGCGTAGGCGAAAGCATCGATTTCCCATGCCAAGCGATAAGACTGTGCTGGCGGCCGGCGTAAATGGTGGTAAGTATTTTGTAAAAAGAAGAGATGAATGTCCAAATCACAACGATTAATGCAACCACTCATGTGTGTATTATCTGTTGTTTTCTTTGTTTATATTTTGCTGCTTCAGGACATCAATCCACTGGCTCATCTGCTGGTTCTGGTGCAGATCCATCAAGTTCAGAGCTTTCGGCTGACACAGTCATTTATATGGGACCAAGTGACGATGCGACAGATGGCGAACATCCGCCTGTGTATTTACCCTCCTTAAGCAGTGCCGATAATCGAGGTGTTATGAGTAAAGCACTAAAAGGTTCTGGTCTTGAAAAGCAACAGCCACAAACAAAAATTCCAAGCTCTGCCAAGAAAGCAGTAGCCAATCAGAAAGGTAAGAGAAAGTAAATTTTGATGCCCAATCAATTAAATTACATGAAGGTGTATCGATATGTAAAAATTAATTTGTTTTAAATTGATGACAAAAAAAAAAATTAAAAACTCTCGAAGTAATTCACAAGCTACCTTAATACTAAATTAAATATGCAATCCTCAAATGGTGCTGAATTGCTTATTGACTTTTTATACATATACCATAATTATATTTTGTACGCGAAATGAATTCATAAAAGAAATGTATTTTTTAGCACCACTTAGCCCAGTTGTCACTAGTCGAACTGGCAGTTTAAAGCGTGGCCATGCCAACAGCCCTACACCTCAGCAATCAGTGCAGCAACAGTCAACACAGCAGTCCACTATACCCAGTGAAACACAATTTTATTCGCCTGTTCACAGTCTGAAATCATTACCGCATTCGGCGTCCTCACCAAAAATAGTCGCTGGTAGCTTACGGCATCCTAACATGGCCATGGTTTGCTCCAAAGGGTCCAACGTGCCCTCCCCTAAGGGTTCGCCGTTGAGACGTCCTGGTGTTGGTGGTCTCACAGCAAGTGAACAAATGGATTGTCCTGGCAGTCCAATGAGAAAAATAACCGAAGAGCAATGGATCGATGGACCGAGAGTATCACGCGCAAAAGTAGCCGAAGCACGGCATTTGTTGCGTGAAGTTAATCACGTTAAACAATGTGAAACATGGATCGATGGACCGAAATCACAATCAAGTCGTTCGCTCACCGCAGGCAACTTACCTGCTGCACCATCACAAGTACAGGGTTATGGTTTTATGGACTCACATAAAAAAACCATGATACGACAATGGGTAGAAAACCAAACAACGCAGGTTTTTCAAACCACTTCCGCTGCCTCATCACCAACACATACAAATCGCGACCAACAAGCACAACATTTACGTAGTATAACCTATCACATGTCACAGCTAAAACAGAAGTCATTAGATGCCACCGAAGATATTTATGCTATAAGCACTCGTCAGCAGCAACATCTTCAACAATTGGCAACTGTTGACCAACAGTCATTGCGTAGCAGTCAACTGGAATTGGTACAGTCACTTAGTGCTGGCCTGACTACAGCTGTTAGTGTCACAAATGCTTCGGCCCCTGCCGAAATACGTGGCGCAACACAGTATCGACAGTCTTCCCTGCCACAACCAACAACAAGTCACAGCTATGCAAGAGACGAGACTGATTTGCATTCAACGCATTCGGTATACTCACACGCTTCATTTGGTATAAATGCATCATGTCCTATACAACAACAAGCAGCTAGTGCAGTAGCAGCCGATGGCGGACCAAATAGCGAACGACAACAAGACTGTGATGAAGATCAAGATAGTGGTCCGTCGGAAGTGCCGCCAGCATTGCCACTTATCGAACCATTAGGTTCGCGTGAAATTTCGCACGAAAGTCTGCACCGGATTTTATCACGGCATGTATCACGTGAATCACTCTATCAACAACAACAGCAACAACACCACCAACATCAACTGGAGTTGCGACGCAAAGAGCACAATACATCACGACAATCCTTGCATCATTTTTCGCAACACAGTCTGGGTATGTCGGACTGTGGATTACAGGTCACAGAGGAGGAGATTGCGCGAACAATGGCTGGGTAAGTAGATTGACAAATGCAAACAATATATTGTAGTATATAATATTAAAAAGAAAAATAAAATGAAGTCGACTTTTAATTTAATTAATTTGTATTCTCCTTCATACTCCTCTTCAATAAATTTTCCTCTGTCTAATATTTTATCGTTTCTCTGCTACTTTTTATTTACAATTAGTGAGCATCCTTTGGCAGCCCTGAGTCACTGCGACAATATGTCCATTGTTTCGAGCTTTCATATGGCTGGCGATGCGTTTAGTGACTGCGCGATTGGTGAAAGAACGAGGTGAATTTTTCAAACTTTTTTTCAAATATATAAAATATTAAAGTTCTAGACATACTTAAACACAAATTTATTGTATAGTAAGGTAAATAAATTAATTCGCAACCTTCCTTAATAATAATATCGGAAGGCTACTAAATATGCTCGTTTAATTATATATTTTTATGTTTATCTTAGTTTTTTAAATTCTTATTCCTTTCTTACTAAATTCTAAGCATAATGTGTATATACCATATAAGCTATTTAGATTTTTTAATGGAAAAAACCATTTTTACTTAAGTCCACCGAAGCATTGGCATGCCCGGAAAAACGACTTTATACTGAACAATATTCAATATTTATATTGAAATCCATTCGAATCGATTTGAAATTCTTTCTTACTGCTATGCAAACAGTAAGAAGACAGTTCAGAATTATTATATATATTATTAATTATATAGATGTAAATTATATTTATTATTATTTTCACATCACTATTTTAATTCTGTAAAAAAGTGACCGATTATTAAAATTTTATATACAATAATATGTGAAGTAAAAAAAAATCCATTATTTTTGCATAAAATTCAAGGCTTATTTACCATAGTTAGAATGATCCGATTCAGGTCAAATATGCACCGTTTTGTTAGATAACTTGTTGCTAAGTCTACGTCCCTATTGGCAAAAAATTGAGACAGACGATATTCACAAGCCTCACTTGAAGCATATTTTTCACTAGAAAATCGTTCATCGTTTATAATGGACAGGAACAGATGGTAATCAGATCGTAATCAAACTCCTGTAGTTTGTGGTGTGTCATTATCGATGTATGTATGGATGCATTGTCCAAACGAAACACAATCCGTCTCCTATTGTCCAAAGCTGGTTGGGAAATTGATACCAAGCATAATCCCATTGGACTTGTGCAACGGGGCATACAGATAACTAAAGCCATTTATTGGGAAAATAATGGATTTCTATGTATTTATTGCACCTCTTATATAACAATAAATTATTATTTTTTACCTAATTCTTAAGTAGCTTTTTTAGAAAGCATTAAAGATCCGAAGTAGTCAAAGATAAGTTATATTATATATACATTATATTGAGTTACATTATTATAATTATTTTAAATCATTATACTTTATAGTTTTATAATTAATATAAAATAATTATAATCAATATATAGGCCTCATAACATATATGATTCATACTTCGATATTAAAGAATTTTGTTTTTTTCTTCTTAATATATTTCAGGAATCAATTTGATCAGCTAGCGCGTTTACGTGAGATATTCACCTCACAGCTGGCCATGGCTGAAGTGACTCCAGTTTTTCGTAGTGGCTGCGATGTGGGTAGCGTATATAGTGAACCAGCTTACCGTTTTAATACTGGGCCAGGCAGCGTTTGCAGTGAACCACCATATAGACCACCAAGTCCACGGTAAGAATTATTATTACTGTAAATATTAAACCATAATGCGCATTATCTAGGTTTAATTGAGTTTAAAAGCCATGACCACACATACTGCTTTCGAAAAAAAAACAATGAAAGATAAATAGAAAATACATTTTTCAGGAATATTTGCAAGTTTTGACAGTCAGTGTGGGACTTGAACCCAGTAAAATTACCTCTTTGGAATGAATCAAGAAAATTTCTACTACTGATTCCGTAGACACTCCTGCTAAACTTTATTCCAGTAATTAGAAGAAAGTATTAAGTTAAAGAGGTTTAGCAGGAATTAGTAGTTATAATAACCCACCGATGGGTGGGGTTATTTTGATAAATGCCTCTGATTAAAGTATAAGATCAGATATTAGGATAGATTTGGCGCATGGCTCACAAGAAGCCAGAAAGAAAGGTTCTAGGGACTGAAATGTCGCTTGTCGGGTTATGCCCGGGTGGCGTAGAGCCGGGCGAGTGTAATACTCATCGATGCAAGTAATCCGAGTTTTCTTATAAAGAACGGAATATGTTTGCAAGCTAAAAAAGTTGTTGATATATGGAAAATTAACCAAAAGAACATTTATTTATGGTTTTCATAAATCCGAAGAAGGTCTTGTTATTACACAAAAAATTAGGTCAGCATTACTGACGATTGTTCATTAACTTTTTTAATATATATTCATCACTTCTTATTGTTTAAAATATTGAAAAAAAACATTAATAATTAATTTCAGACAACCTTCACGTAGTCCAAGTCAAGGTTCGTTACCTAGCTTAAATGGTATTATGCAAATAGCCGGTATGGAACAATATGCTTCTTTGCGACATCCGGATGGTGCTTCTGATCCAAATTTGCCAAAAGTAGAAAAACCTTTTGTTCTGGAACACGAAGATATCTGTGAAGTTGATGAAAAATCAGCACTGCTGTCATCATCGAAACGTCCTTCTCTTGAAATAGAACAGGATGCAGCTGTGCTAAATCAGCTGACGACAACGCTACCAATAACAACACAAACACAACTGCCACTACTACCATTGACCAGTTCTCATGAAGCCTATGATAGTGGCCATGACTCATCCACTCCCCGCACCTCAAAACATTCTGGAATTTCTCGGCGCGCCGAGAGCGGATATCACAGCGTTGCCACTGCACGTGACAGTGATGAGAGCAGTTTTACTTCGGGTCTCTCCAAAGAGCATCACAACCGTATTACAATTAAGAAAAAGCGACAGGACAAGGGTTTATGCAATTGGTTAATGAATCCTTTCACATGCACGTATCCAGAGACTGAGGGAGAAATCAGCGATTTTTAAACTAATTAAAAAAAGAAAAAAAACTAATTGAAAGCAACAATTAAGTTTCAAGAGTACAACATCAGTACGTATTTATATATGAAACTTTTTTTGTAGTGCATAACTGACTTCCCACCAAGAATATTCGATTTTTGAGAGCAAAAATATTTTTAATAAAAATAATAAGAATTAAAAAATGCCAAATTTTTTCTTAAGCCAATGATTTCCAATGAATCAAACGGCGACTGAAATTTTATACATTAAATTAAATTATTGAAACTATTAAATTAAACAAATATTTTAACAAAATATTTATTATATTAAATAAATGGTATGCTTTTATTATATCAAAATCTGAAGGCTTTTACAGTGTGTGTGTGTGCTTTGACAAAAATTAACAGAAATCGATAGAAATCGATAGAAATCGACAGAAATCGATAGATATCAATAAAAAAATCGATCAAAATCGATCAAAATTGATAAAAATCGATAGAAAATAAGCAGAATATTGGATTATATTTTAAGATTTGCGTCGCTTACGTATAAACTAATTAAAATTAAAAAAATTATATGCCATATTTGGATATGATTATTATAATATATATATATATTAAATTATAAATAAATGGAATAATTGTTAAATGATTTTAAACTGATACTTAGTTGCAAATTTGAAAGCCGTTCTTAGTTACTGATGAGCCTTTAAAGTTTTATAAGCTTTTTACAAGTACTCAAAGCATGTTTTAGTTGAAATCTCGGAGAGAAGATAGGTCGGAGAAAAAGTTGGGAGTATGTTGGAACACTTACAAAATTATATATTGTGGCTGTATAATTTTGATTTTTTCATTTTGTAAAGTTCTTATTGTGTTTCCTTAAAATATTTAAGAAAAATTGTTTTATTGTTGAATTAGCTAAATTTAAGTAAACTTTAATTAAAAAAAAATAGCTTTACGCAAAGCTACTAACTATAAATTTAAATACTAAATACAAATTTTGTTGCCAGTTTTGCCTATTTAAACTATGTTAAATTTTAAATATATATTATTAAATAATAAAAATAATAAATAAATAGTACTAATATTAACGCTAACTATAATTTGTAATGACGTAGCTATTAACTACTGAAAATAAAAACTTATTATACTTATATGAATTATTAATATAACGATAAAAATATTATTATAATAAATAAAATTTATTACTAAATAATATATATATATATATATATATATATATAAATGGCATTGTATATTCACATGCGATATATAGGTGAATAAAATAACTTATCTTAAAGCAAATTTAAAATAGAAAAAAAAAACCAAACAGAGGAAATGTTCGCTACATATTTACAAACACAGATACATCATAAATACAATATGTATGTATGTGTATATCTCATTTAAGAAAAAGACTTCATGGGAACACTTTTTTCCAGCAAAAACTCATCAATTTCATTAATAATTCATATGGAGCGAATGCATCTTAATTTAAATTTTCCATCATTGATTGATTTTTATAAAAATAAATTTTTTTAATATAAAATAAATTTTTAATATTTTTATATGTCTTTGTGTTAATGTTTGTGGTTTTATACTTTTAAAAATTTTATATACATGCATTTCAATTTATTTAATTTTCATATAAATTTAACTTCAATTTAATTTTATATTAGTGTATAAAATATATTTAAAATATTCAAATAACTGAAATAAAAAATTTATTATAAACTCAAATAAAAATCTTTTAAAAACAAAAAAGCTAAATTTTTTATTTTCAATTAAAAAAAAATGTTTCAGAACATGAAGATACTCTGAGATAGTTTTAAAGAATAAACAATATAAAATACTACACATTCCAGGATTTGTTAATAAGGGAATCTCACACCGTCCATCGTCTAACTTCATGTCTGCATTAACTAGACTTTGACAAGATTTTTACGTGCAAATATAAATATTTATTATCATTTTTAAATATTTAAAAGAATTTAAAAATTTTAATTTTTATACCATTTTTTTATATTCGAATTTTGTCACCAAATATTTGGTTAAAGTTTAATATGTAAACAGTGCCTAATGCGAACATACATCCATTTCTACAATGTCCAAATTTTTTGGATCATTTTTTTTTAACAGAGCTTCTAAAATGTTTTGCTTGAGAGTAGAGTATAAACTAATTTTTTTGTTATATGTATTATCTTACTTTCTTTATGATATATGGCTAACGCAATATTTTTCAAAATTTTTATAAAAATATTTCAAAAATGTTAATGCTATGAAGCTAAGAATATGTATAATTGAGATATAGTTTTATCGAGAATAAAAAACGGTGGGTTTGAATAAAAGAAATAAAAAAATTAGGAGAAAAAAAATTAATTAGAAAATAAAATAGAATATAACGAAAAATGGGAGTCCGGCTTTTAACAAAACAGCGGTTTGATACCATAATTGATCTTTTGTGCTGCAGAACAGAATAGAAGAAACTAATCACGTCAAATGATTGTCAAAATAAACAAAGCAAATCTTAGTCTAATAAATTACTATTGACTCAGATCAAAGTTGGATAGGCATAAACAAAATCACTAGATATCTTAACAGTTTTCAAACAGATACGATATTCTCTATTCTCAGACAATCTTGCTACAATGGCAATACAGAGATTGATAAGCTGTTGGATAACCTGACAATAACATTAGCCCTGAGGCTAATTAATTGTTAAAAGGAAACAGCTTTTTAGAGTTATGGTTACTCGGAGTTTTATGCCAATGGCGTTATATAGTAATCTAGGTTTTTTTTTTCAAACCAAATCGACAGTAAATCGATTGACGTCAGGTTAATGCGTGTTCCAACTTTACTTGCCTGCAGTAAATACTGTATGTATCTTCCTAAAAAAATTCAGAGAAAAGAAATTTAAGTAGATACTGAGAACATTTCATGCAATCCAATAGCAATTTGAACACTAATTGAATCTTTCACCAAATAATTATACATTCTCTTTAACCAGACCTATAGAAGGTGCAATAAAAGAGACAATTCAGCACTTTCTGTGCAAATGCCCAACTATGCATAATTTATTATATCCCATAAATGCTCTTACCAACGGCCATCGGTATTTTTAATAGCCTCTATCAAAATTTGATTTTTACCATGAAAGTCTAAAAGATGAGAAGTTAAATTAGATTGCGGCATAATCGATAACCGTTGCCCTAGAAGTGGACTTTTAGAAATTAGTAATACTTTTATATTACTTCTTAAAATTTAGATGATAGTTTAGTTTTTAGATTAGATTAAGATTATTAGTTTTTATTTTTATAAAACTTACTTAATATGTTTGATGTGGTCATTTTCTAGTAGTTCTTTATGTCATTTTTTTATTAAATTGACTATAGTGAATTGTTTTTTAATGACAACAGAACTTGAAGTCTTGTATAACTGCTACTGATTACAAAAGAATAGGTAGTCTTTAATAAGTTCATCTAATTATTCTGGTCAGCGTTTTAGTTAGCTTATATAAAAGTTTAAGTTCTCTTTTCTCATCATATTTATTATTGCTTTCAACTTTTATATCCTAGTGCAGACCCAAATTTCTTATATATCACTGGGTTCTTCTTTAAAACTTTATTATGAAATAGACGAAATTTGTGTGATATAGTCGAGGCTGCTTACCGAAACAGTACGAAGTTACAAAGTAAGTTTGACCTTAAAATACAGAATTTTGTTTTCTATACATAAGAAACCTCTTCTTCTTCTTCCTTATATGCTCGTTCTTTGAATTTGTTTTATAGAAATGTAGTAATACATAGCATGTAGTATATGACGTCAGATGGCATGTGATTTTTGTTAGTGTAATAAGGTATATCTGCCTAATATGTGCTATTAATTATTCAAAATATCATATTCTGCTAAAATTCGTTGTCAAATGTACGACAATTTTAAAGCTAGTTTTTTTGAGAAGTAAGCTATATCAGCATATAATGTATTATCAACTTCTATCGTTGTCAAAAGTTCGTAATTTGAAGACAATTATATCGAAAAACAAGTTCTTGATTCTTCTTGATTCTTCTTCTTCTTGAGTTAGTGCTATTACGCACTTTTACTCTATAATGGCTGGAGGGCTTATCTCTACCCCACACTAAGTTTTAACTAGGCTAAAAAAAAAAAATCATATCATTTATTTGTCTTTTAGTTGATGACGGACCTTAAATCAGCATATCTTCCTGAGAGTCCAGAAGTGGACTTGAGGATTGTTAGGGCGGGGTTAATTAGCGTAACAACTTTAGTGAATAATTTTAGAGCTCTGTCTCTAATATATTTTTTCACTGAGTCAATCCTAAGTTCTCTAGATATTTAAAATTACTGATTCTACAAAAATTCGTTTTCAAAAATTTGACATTCTTGAATCAAGTGTTTTGACAAGTAATCTATATCGATAGTATATAACGTTCTGTCAACGTATTATCCTTGTCAAAAATTTACAATTTTACCAGATACTAAGTTAAGTCAAGTTAACTAAGTTATTTAAAATTTTTGGTTCTACTAAAATTGATAATTTACCAAAAGTTAACACTTTTAAACCTCAGGAACCCATGCAGCAAGCTATATCGACATATAATATACTGTCCATGTGTTATTGTTCTGGAACATTTACTATTTTAAGCCAGATACCTGAAGTAGTTACTTAAAATATTTGGTTCTACTAAAATTGATATTTTGCTAAAAGTTAACACTTTTAAACCTCAGGAACCCATGCAGCAAGCTATATCGACATATAATATACTGTCCATGTGTTATTGTTCTGGAACATTTACTATTTTAAGCCAGATACCTGAAGTAGTTACTTAAAATATTTGGTTCTACTAAAATTGATATTTTGCTAAAAGTTAACACTTTTAAACCTCAGGAACCCGTGCTACCCATGTATTATCGTTGTGGAATCTTCATTATTCTAAACCAAATACCTATCTGGAGAAGTGAGCTATTTAAAATATTTGGTTCTAATAAATTCAAGGATATTACAATTTTAGATCGCACATCTTGAGAAATAAGTTTTTCAAGATAACTGTTTCTACCAAAATTCTTTCTGAAACCACTGCAAATAGTTATTAATTTTGAAGTGCATTAATGTATAATTAAATTTACAACTTCATTCCATA